TCCTCGGACAAGGAGGATGATATTCCTTCCACTAAAGTTGATGTAAAATCCTGAAAGAGATGAATCAAGTACTGGGTACAGAGGTGGGAAAAGTGAGCGGAGAAGTGCGCACCCTAGGAGGCCGAGTGAAGCAGGTGGAAGCAGAGGTGGCAGAGTTCCAGCAATTCAAGACCGACACCGCAGACAGCCTCACCAGTCTTAGGGAAACCTGTGAGTCTATGCAGGCCAGGATGGCATCCCTAGAAGACAGCAACCGCCGCAAACCTATCAAGATTAGAGGCATTCCTGACACCATAACCGTGGTGAACTGCCCGCCTATATAGGCCGTTTGTTTCTTGACTTGCTGAAACGGAAGTCCTTCTCTGCCACACGAGTGGATGGGATTTTCCGTGTCTCTTACCCCGCTGGAGCTCAGAATAAGGGGCCCTGCGATACAATTAAACAGCTGTCCCGCATGGGCGATAAATTAGCCATGATGAAAACTACCAGAAGCATACCCACCTATCAATTCGAAGACCATACTGTGACCTTCTATCACAACCTATCCTGAGCCACCCTAAGATGGAGAACCTTGCTGAGTCACATCAATCGAATACTCCAGGACAAGGAATTAGCCTATCGTTGGGGCAACTCTAGAGCCCTGTGGCAAAACTAGCCACTTCATCATCTTAAAGACTGGGTCCATTCATCTAATTTTTCCTGTAAAGACTATGGACATTCGTATGCCGATTTCACGAACAAGATTGGGATACATTGTTCGTGAAACTAATAAAATGCTGAATGGGAGACCACACAAGAGAGTCGTGTGTCTCCAATTAACAACTGGCAACATTGGGGAAACCACAGAACTCTAATGATTTAATGGCCATCTTTGCTCACGAACAGGGCCGGTGCAAGGATTTTTGCCGCCCTAGGCAAAAGTAAAGTTTGCCGCCCCCCACCATGTGACATCACAATGCTCCACCCATATGATCTGCCATGTTAACTAACGCCAGTGCTGCAGTGCCGCCATGTTTACATTATAAGGCATGCAGGGACAGGCTATAGACACCAGAACAACTACATTAAGCTGCAGTGGTTCTGGGGACTATAGTGTTTCTTTAATGTGAGGTAAACTGGAGATTAGTCTCACAAATAATATACTAGATTGCCTACTTACAACGAGATGAGGATGATGATGGGCTCTAACTGCAGTCTGGCTCCACTGGTCTGGTGTAGAACAGGCTCTCTGGAGGCTGTTTGTAATTGTGGTCACAAAAATCAATATTCTGGGAGTACGGGAAGCAGCTCCATTTTTGGGGGGCCCTTTACACAGCTCAAGGTCTGGGTCCCAGGGTCCACCTTCATGTTCCACTAATGAGTTTGTTCACAGGGGGTGGAGTGTGTAGGGGATGTCCTGATATGTGTGTAAGGAATGCATTGTGTGAATCTGTGTTTGTATGTGTACGGGCTGCAAGGTGTGTTTCTGTGTATGTACAGTATGTGCGTGTGTAAGGGGTGCATTGAGTGTGTGTAAGGGGTACATTGAGTGTGTGTAAGGAATGCATTGTGTGAATCTGTGTTTGTATGTGTACGGGCTGCAAGGTGTGTTTCTGTGTATGTACAGTATGTGCGTGTGTAAGGGGTGCATTGAGTGTGTGTAAGGGGTACATTGAGTGTGTGTAAGGAATGCATTGTGTGTTTCTGTGTGTGTAAGGGATGCATTGTGTGTAAGGGTTACATTGTTTGTGTGTGTGTGTGTGTGTGTGTCTGTGTGTTTAATGCATTGTGTGTTTTTCTGTGTGCAAGGGGTGCATTGCATGTGTGTGTGATGGATGTCAATCTCTCCCCCCTCCCTTGTCACTCTCTTCTCCCCCCTCTCCCTCCCTTGTCACTTTCTTCTCCCCCCTCTCCCTTGTCACTCTCTTCTCCCTTCCCCCTTCCCACTCTCATTGCCCCTCCCTCCCCTGTAACTCTCACCCCCCGTCAATTTCTTCTCCCCCCCGCCAATTTCTTCTTCTCACCCCTGTCAATTTCTTCTTCTCCCCCCTCCCCTACCAATTTCTTCTTCTCCCCCTCCCCTACCAATTTCTTCTTCTCCCCCCCTCCCCTCCCCATTTCTTCTTCTCCCCCCTCCCCTACCAATTTCTTCTTCTCCCCCCTCCCCTGCCAATTTCTTCTTCTCCCACCCCTCCCATTTCTTCTCCCCCTCCTGCCAGAGATTTTCTTCTTCTTCCACCCTCCTGCCAATTTCTTCTTCTCCCATCCCTCCCCATTTCTTCTCCCCCTCCCCCTACCAATTTCTTTTTCGCCAGCCCTCCCCATTTCTTCTCCCCCCTCCTACCAGTTTCTTCTCCCCTCCCAATTTCTTCCTCCCCCCTCCCCTGCCAGATTTCTTCTTCTCCTGCTGATTTCTTCCCCCCACCTCCCTCCCCAGTTTCTTCTCCCCCTCACAGTTTTCAGCCAGCACCCCTCCCTCCCAATTTCTTCTCCCCTCCTCACAATTTCTTCTTACCCCCTCCCTCTGGTTCTCCCCCCCTCCCTCCTGGATTTCTTCTCCCCCCCTCCCCTCCTTTCTTCTCCCCCCTCCCCTCCCAGTTTCTTCTTACCCCTCCTCCCAGTTTCTTCTCCCCCTCCTCCTGATTTCTTCCCCCCCCTCCCTCACAATTTCTTCTTACCCCCTCCCTCCCCTCCCCATTTCTTCTCCCCCCTTCCCTCCCAATTTCTTTCTCCTCCCCCCCTACCTTTGTTGTAGCGTGGCCGAGCCCTGCATCATGATGGTCCGCGGGTACAGGTTGCTTTTGTTTCCTGTACCCGGCCGGACTAACAGGAAGACAGATGCTCCCTGTACCCGTCGGACAATCATGATGCAGGGCTCAGCCACGCTACAACTGAGGGAGTGACAGGAAGGAGCGCTTCCCTCCTGTCAGCCCCTCTCCTCAGGTTGCGCCCGGGCGGTGCGGTCCGCCCTCATGGACGCACCGCCCGGGCAAAGCTGCAGCCACCTGAGGCTGTTTACAGAGCGCTCGGGCGGCTGCAGCATGGGGGGGGCGGTGCTCCTGGCGGCGCCCCTTCGCAAGGGGCGCCCTAGGCGGCTGCCTAGTCCGCCTAACAGGTAGCGCCGGCCCTGCTCACAAACGTCCAGCAGTGTTTGGTCGTCGAGTGCATGGAACCAAAAGCGGCTACTCAACCTCGCGAGCACCACTGGACTTCCATGCCGCTCGTATGGATAGATCCATTCGTCGAAAGAGAGTGGCATTCGGTGAAATAAACCCCACGAACTTCTCATACCCCATTAGCCAGTAAATTCATGTATCTGTTTGATTGTTCATTCACAGGAACTCCCGAAAGGAGACCGGTAAAAGCAGCCAACTGCCTGGAACTATTTTGGGGCTCGCGCCTCGTGGCTGACCGGTCCATAACTTCATTCGAATGGCTTTTCTATTCTAACGAATGGATCTGAGCGGTATTTCGGGAAGTTCAGATGCATAGTTCTCAAGTTATGTATTTTTATGTTATATTGTAAACTTTTCTGTACGGAGAGATAATGTAATTAAAGGTGTACTCTTACGCAATTATCTCTCCAGTACAGAAAAGCATGATGGGAGATATTATTGTACGTTAAGTTTTCCACAGAGTCCACCAGGGGAAAACCCCTGGAATGCCATTAAGGAAACCCTTTGCATGGGGATTTTTATATAACCGTCTGTGGTGCAATAAAAGCTCAGTTGACTCCCAAACTGTGTATCATCCAGTTCTTGGGAAAAAGGGATTGTATTTACGCTACCCATATTTTGTATGCTGATCACGTCGACCGGCGGAGATATCGTGGATTATACTACTACTCCGCTACAAACCCTAATAGTGGAATAAAACGGAGTGGTCCTGAAGGTGGTTCATGTCACAGAAACAGCAATGTTGCTCGGAGAGCCGAGGCTTACACTGCAACCTATTAGTGATCAGAGCCAGAAAAAGAGGCTGCGACCCACACCACCGTGCACATGAAGGGACACTGAAGACACAATTGGCTGTCCACTAACGGCCCCATGAGTCTTGCATTACCACTATGCATACTCCACAGTTATTCAACCCCCAATCCTTAGCTAAGATATTAACTTATTTATCTAGTTTCAGATTTTACTTTATGTTATTACTATGCTTTCACTAATTAGTCTGGTTAATAACTCACATCGTAGCGAGGCAGACAGTACCAATGTTAGCGTGGACTAGGGTCCCTAGTTCCAGATTGCACCATTATTTTTTTAATTATACAACCAAGCTTTTCTAGCATCCCTTAACTCTATCATAATGCGTTTGCACTCATCCACCATATGGCTGAAATCTTCTGAATTTGCCATTTGGGAATCTAGATCCAGTGAGTGCGGTGTAAAATACCTATGTGTACCTGGATAAGCATATGTAGCGCGTAGACACTGTAACACACTGATTTGATGGCAGTCGGATGCCCAAGTTCTTTTCATGTTATCTAAAAACAATGCAGTTACTGTTGCATTGCTCTTTGTCAATACATCTGCATAATATAAATAAAGAATTTAAAAAACAAACAAAAACAAAACGCAATCTTACACCCACATTTCGCTTCTAATAAGAATATGCAAAGAAAATTCAGAGAAACCAAACCGCATGATGAAATTCTGTTTAAAATTTAAAAATGATTCGAACATACCAAATTTGAGACTTTAACACTTTATGACATGCTGTATAAGGCATTCCTGTCATCTTCTCAAATCCATCTTCCAGGTTAATAAGAGTTACCATTTATCCAATTACATATAAAACAATTATACCATATGAAAGCCATAAACAGAAAATAATGACAATTGTAATAGATATATCAGAATGACTATAAAGCCTTGGTAGGTAACAGACATTTTTGTTTTATTCAGCAATTCTTTTAACAATCCCTCATATCGAGTCAGAATCCATCCAAAAGAACATAGCATATCCACATTAAAACCACACATTAGAGTTGCTGAAACATCATCTTAATGGTTAGTTGTTTAGAGTGTGGGTAGGTTCCGGTAGGTCTGGACCCAGAATCTGACATAAGGTGAACGAAGACTCTGTTTCATAGACTGGTAGCTGATGGAATTATTGATTTCTAGATACTGGCCATAATAAGTATTGTAAGGCAGCCAAGGGGTAGGGACCTTGGATTTCCCAGTGTTGGGATCTCTGTGAAATAAATAAAAATTAATTAATTCATTCATTCATTATACTTCATATGAAAAGGATGGCATTTGTGACACTGAAGCTGGAAGGTGAATCTTTTAAGTCACACTTTTGTTTAAATACCTGCTCTCAGGCTGTTAGATAAAAGGACATGCCACTAGAATTTATGCCACTTCCACTTCCTGTGGTTTACGTTGACAAATGTTCCAGTGAATTATGGCTTGCTAACAGCTGTGGGTGTAATGTAATAACCCTTCAGTTTTTCCTTTCATTTTCTGGGTGTTTCCATATAGCAGGACACTGATTACACATATAATGTGTTTTAGTTGAAAATTGCAAGCTCTTGTGTCCTCGTTTAACATTGTTAAAAGACTCTGGTAGTAAATATATGACATGGTGGCTTTATGTAGGTAATAACATGGAGTAATCTCTGCGCATGGGCTGACCAAGCAAGGCTGCACCAGACTGATATGGCCCCTTTTTCGGGACACAGAGTTGATAAGTGATATAGTAACCATCATTATCATGCCCCACCTCCTTCCGGCCTAGAAGAATGTGTGTTTTAAGGTGCTCTAGGCCACATTACCATTTATAACAGTGGTTAGTGCTTTGTAAAGCCCCACTTTCCTCTTTCCACAGAGCCACAAATTATTTAAGTTCATCGTGTAATAAATCTGCTGAGATAACATAGAACTCATGGGACATTATCTCTGAACAGCCCTCATTGAGGTCTCAGCTGATTTTAGGAGACAGGTGGAAGAAAACATATTTGTGACACATTCCTAAATTTCTCTGCTGTAATTTGTAGCCCATTCTAGACTTCATAATAGTTCACAGGGTAAGCACTTGTTTAGAGTTTGAAGTAGGCAGCTTGAACAAACCAAGCTCTCTTGTTTCTGGTCATAGGTGCGTATTGGTGAAAAGAGGGGCATGGAAGCAGCGCCTTAAAGGGATGTCCTCCAGACTTGGATAGGCAAATATGCAAAAGAAAGGAGGATAACGTGTAGTCCCCCTCTTTCCACCATTCTAGACTTCCATCACATAACTCTTTAGGGATCAAACTGCTCAGAGTCCTTCTGGATTGGAATGGTGATCAATGAGGGTTGTGGACATGTTCATCTTTATTTAAACCCAGATATGATAACACTCAGGAGGAGGTGTTATGGTACCAGATGTGCCCTGGCAACCAACCAGTGTAAGAAGTCTCATCAGAGCTGAAAGTAAGAGACAGAATATTCTGCTAGGAGCTTCTATTAGGTTTTCTAAGGTAAGCCCTGCTGTGCGTAATTGCTCTCAGCCAATGAGCTAAGCCCCACACCTGTGTGCTTAGCTCAGACAGAGAGCTTCCAGCTGCAGTCAGGCAGGAGGTTGTGCTTGGTGTACCCCAGGTAAGAAGTCCAACCGTTAGAAAATGAATAGACTACTAAAAGTGGGGGTGGTAGGGCACTAGAGGCACCATAAACACTACAACATGCTGTAGTAGTTATGGTGATTGGAGTGTTCCTTTAACTCACTTGTAAACGTAGGCTTTTGAAAACAGAAAGTCACAGCTTTAGAGCTGTGAATAGAATATACCCAACCCCTGCTTAGTTCATGAAGTATAAGAACAATGATGATTTGTCCTTACCCAGTTGCTGCAAAGTTTGTCCAATAAGCAATCATGGCAGTTGCAACATCTCTGTCCTGGGGTCTGTAAGCCAGTTGGTTATTGAAGGGTTTCCCAAACATATATTGCAGGTCATCAGCATGGTCAGCTCCTACCCAGCTTGGGTATATGGGCATACGGGATGGGTGAGAGAAGAGGTAACTGTATGTCTTTGCAGTCCTAGGATTAAGAATGAAGATTTCGGGTAATGCACACATGAGATCTGGTTTAAAACGGCCACTCACATAATTCTCAGTGTTTTTTGTGTCTTTGTGAAAACGCTGGCCGCCAAAATCTTCCAGGCTATGAAGGTTCTACCTGGAAATGTTTGCTTAACATTGATTACCCTTTGTATAACTATACTAACCTTCTTTCTAGATAGAGATATATTGTTACAATGAATAATACATTCAAAGCTCATTCAGTTGGCTTTCTAAAAGTCCTTTAAACTGTGTATTGAGCTATTTATATGCATTTGGGTCAAACTGTAAGGATTATGTGTTTTACCCACCACAATCCCATGTGTTTCATATTGAAATCCTTCCTTGTGGGGTAAAATTGTCATCGCTATAAATGGTAACATTATAATGATGTTGCTTTAATATGACATTAGCGTCATAAAACAGTGAAAAAAAATAAATTAGAACCACATCAAAAACAACATGAGCACTACCATACCTCTTTCAACTAGTATTCGAAGGGTTAAATATAGCTGTTTCATTGCTAAACAAATGTCATCTATTTTATTTTTTTTAGATAGTGTAATTTTACATTTGTAAATGAGGGTCAATCTTTTTTTTTTTTTATAATACCTTCTCTTTTAGTTGTTTGTTTTTTTTAACTTACTTAGCATTCTGGTAATGAAGTGCCAATGCTTCTTGTGTTGGTACCAGGAAAATATAATCTGTTTCAATGTCAACAACAGTCTTCTTCATCTGCTCCTGGCTTGGACTTGGTCCCCAGTTTGTGGTGTAAAGGTCATATGCCATAGTGAATCCCTCTGTGCCTTTGGGAAAAGTCAGTCCCTCCACTAATTTCTCTATGTTAGCTCTATAAGAGAGAACATTATCAGATTGGTGCATGACACAGACATTTATCATGTGACATCATCAATTCACCCTCAGAACTCAGTGATACACCAATTACATAATCCATTGGTTAGTGGTCCATTCAAAACTTGCGATCCATTCTCTAATTTTATATCCACTGAAAACCATTACCATTACCAGTTGCCATCATTCTTTAGATCCCCAATCATTACCAGTTGACATCATTCATTCATAAATTACTGCTTTCTATCATTCAATGGTCAAGGCATGAAAACTAGACATACGCAGAAATTTTCTGGAGTGGTTCATTTATAACTGGCATATCAACGCCTGCAAACAAGTGGCCATCCATGTTGTTTACTCCTGCTAGATAATCCACATCGGCAGCATTGGAAAAAAGATTCATGGGATCATCAGGGAGGAAGTCCCCATCGATGACAGGGGAGAAAGCCAGGTAATGAACCAAGGGGTCTGCCATGAAAAAATAAGAGTTATTATTACAAACATTCAATTCCTTTCTGCTTCTAATTCTCTTCATACCCAACCAGCTCTAGTTTACCTATCTTCCATTTTGTCACTTCCTTTGCCATCTTTCTCTCCTTGTGCCATTTTGTTTCCAGTTCCTCCATTTTTTGTGTTTCAATCATCCTCCCTGCTTTTTTTTTATCCCTTTTTGTCTTTGCCATTTTTGCCATTTACTCACTCCTCTTTGCGGGTTTTCAGTACATTTCTCATTGTATTTCATTGCCCTCCACAGTCTGACCTGTTTTTTCTGTTTTATTGTTGTGTCTTTATTTTTGTGCCCCTTACAGTCTGTGTTCTTTTCTAAATTAGTAACAGCATAGTCAAGCTGTCAACAGCTACAGTGACTTGTATTGCTCAAACCTCAGAACACCCAAGTAAGATGGTGAAGGTTTAAATGCATCCTAGGTAGCAGTGTGCTTTAGCTAACCAACAAGTTCCATTTCTTTCTGCTCTCAGAATCCCATATGGTCACATTTTTCCTAACGCGGCACTCACATTGTAGACCAACCAGCTCCAGAGTATATGCAACGGTAATGGCACTGGGGTCAGTAGCTTTTAAACAGCTGGCAAGAACTGCTGTGTCGTGAACAGGACATCCAACTTTAGCTCCAAGCTGAAAAAAACAACGAAAACTCTATAAAATTAAGCAATGGACAGATCAAAAAAGCTTCCAGGAAAAAATAAAATCTACCGAGAGATTGAAAGACTAGGGTCAGAAAAGGAGTACCGAAGGCTGCCTACTGCTGCTCTAGTGTATTACATTTCGACATTAACCATGTCATTTTCATACAAATTTGAAAAGCATTAGACTTGGAAATTTGTTTCAGACCGAACTGCAACTCGGCTGAACTTGGGCCAATCGTGAAATTCCTGCACTGTAGCCAGAATATATGCAGTTACGGACTAACAGAACCACACAATGCCAAATATGTTTTGGGGGCACCAAAAAAAAGGGAATTGATGGCTGTGGGACAGTCACTAAATGTTGATTTTATTCACAGATCAAGCGAGAAGTGAGCAAGATATATTTAATAAATATATAATATAAAAATATATAATTTTTTACTCCTCCTTCTGTTTTTCCCTCTATTGGTTACTTTTTCTCACTTGACCTGTGAACCAAATGTGAAAATGCTCCTATCATTGTAGTGCAACATATACAGATATATAACACAATTGGCCCATTTTCCTGCCTTTTTGTTTTTTTTTCTTGATTTGATTCCCAAATTGAAATTTGGCTGAGCCAAACATCCAGCCGAAATGCAGGTGCCCCGAAAATTGTTCTACCTTTATAAAACAATTATTCGGCAGAACCAAATGTTCTGACAATTTTAGAAAGCATTGACTGGCTACAGTATCAATCTTCACTACATAGTACTTAAAAATGCAGCTAATGCTTAATGATGAAATTAGAACAGTCCCTCTATGGACTGTTTAAAGATTATGTCTATAAACAGATATATTTTCTTTCGTATGCTTTCACCCTTTGGAGTGCTACTGGGGAGGGTAGAAATTATTATGTGAGATCCATCATATTTCAATCCTTAAAAATGTTTCAGAGATGGAAGCGGCAGGATTTGTCGATCAACTGAACATGAGGAGTGACGGATTGGTTGGAGTCAAAGAGAACACCTAGGCAGTGAGCCTGCAAGTTAGAGCTGATGGTAGTACCGTTGACTTAGAGGGAGACAGACATGAGAGTAGCAGCACACGAGGGAGAAAAGACCAGAATTTCTGTTTTGGACAGGTTAAGTTTAAGGAAGTGAGCAGCCATCCAGTTGGAGATAGCAGAGAGGCAGTCAGACACACAAATCAAGAGGGGCAGCAAGAGATCAGGAGAGGACAAATAGATTTGCATGTCATCCACATAGAAATGATATTGGAAGCCAAAGGAGCTGACGAATTTACCAAAGGAGGCAGTAAAGATCAGAGGGGAGAAAGCACAGTAGGCCATACTTCGAATGATTACTTGGTATCTACAAAGGATTGGCCACCAAGTTTGGAATAAGTGCTCTGATCAAAAGGGATCATTACCTCTTTAGCATACTTCAGGGGGTTTTGTTGAATTGCCCAAGGGCAAAGTCCAACACCACTCTGGCTGATTGCTCGCTTGATCAGTCCAACATTGTAAGGAGTCAGAGTCTGCAACAAAGAGAAGGAAAAAACAAACAAACAAACCAAAACTTGGTGAGCTCAAGAATCAAATATCAAGAACACATATGTTGAAAATGTAAATTTAGATCTACCGAAACATCCCTACGTGTCATACATGGTATCTCAATTGTACAGAATCTGCGAGCACTTTATATACAAACATATAAAAATGAGTTTTTCAAATTAATCAAAGAGTGCATGTTTTATTTGAGTCCAAGAAATTCTGAAACATCATTGGCCAGTTGCCACATAAAAATAACACCAAACAGCATTGGCACCACTTTATCTGGATTGCATGATCATACGCTCATGTGATGTTCCACAAACCCTTTATTGTCCAGAATAGTTTTATTGAGGATACTCATTATGAGAGGTGTGGAAAGGTAGTGACCACCTAGAAAAATAGCAGTCAAAAAAATGGATACCAATCTACAATTAACAAAGGTTCTTGGTATGTCCATAAGTGGGTACAAACAGGCAACCACGTAGAATAACTAAAGCAAATAATAGCCCTGTTCTGATCTATATATTCTATACTGAACACTGGTGAGACCTCACTTGGAGTATTGTACGCAGTACTGGAGACCGTATCTTCAGAAGGATATTGATACTTTAGAGAGAGGTCAGAGAAGGGCTACTAAACTGGTTCATGGATTGAAGGATTAAACTTATCAGGAAAGGTTAAAGGATCTTAACATGTACAGTTGCAAGAAAAAGTATGTGAACCCTTTGGAATGATATGGATTTCTGCACAAATTGGTCATAAAAATGTGATCTGATCATCATCTAAGTCTCAACAATAGACAATCACAGTCTGCTTAAACTAATAACACACAAAGAATGAAATGTTGCCATGTTTTTATTGAACACATCATGTAAACATTCACAGTGCAGGTGGAAAAAGTATGTGAACCCCTAGACTAATGACATCTCCAAGAGCTAATTGGAGTGAGATGTCTGCCAACTGTAGTCCAATCAATGAGATGAGATTGGAGGTGTTGGTTACAGCTGCCCTATAAAAAACACACACCAGTTCTGGGTTTGCTTTTCACAAGAAGCATTGCCTGATGTGAATGATGCCTCGCAGAAAAGAGCTCTCAGAAGACCTATGATTAAAGGACCACTCTAGGCACCCAGACCACTTCAGCTTAATGAAGTGGTCTGGGTGCCAGGTCCTTCTAGGGTTAACCCATTTTTTTATAAACATAGCAGTTTCAGAGAAACTGCTATGTTTATGAATGGGCTAAGCCTTCCCCCTAATCCTCTAGTGGCTGCCCAGCGCTGGAAAAAGGTAAGTTTTTAACCCTTTCCCCCTTCCAGAGCCGGGCGGGAAGGGGTCCCTGAGGGTGGGGGCACCCTCAGGGCACTATAGTGCCAGGAAAACGAGTATGTTTTCCTGGCACTATAGTGGTCCTTTAAGAATTGTTGACTTTCATAAAGCTGGAAAGGGTTATAAAAGTATCTCCAAAAGCCTTGCTGTTCATCAGTCCATGGTAAGACAAATTGTCTATAAATGGAGAAAGTTCAGCACTGCTGCTACTCTCCCTAGGAGTGGCCGTCCTGTAAAGATGACTGCAAGAGCACAGCACAGACTGCTCAATGAGGTGAAGAAGAATCCTAGAGTGTCAGCTACAACGTCACTGGCAAATGCTAACATCCCTGTTAGCGAATCTACAATACGTAAAACACTAAACAAGAATGGATTTCATAGGAGGATACCACAGAGGAAGCCACTGCTGTCCAAACAAAACATAGCTGCACGTTTACAGTTTGCACAAGAGCACCTGGATGTTCCACAGCAGTACTGGCAAAATATTCTGTGAACAGATGAAACCAAAGTTGAGTTGTTTGGAAGAAACACACAACACTATGTGTGGCGAAAAAAAGGCACAGCACACCAACATCAAAACCTCATCCCAACTGTGAAGTATGGTGGTGGGGGCATCATGGTTTGGGGCTGCTTTGCTGCGTCAGGGCCTGGACGGATTGCTATCATCAAAGGAAAAATGAATTCCCAAGTTTATCAAGACATTTTGCAGGAGAACTTAAGGCCATCTGTCTACCAGCTGAAGCTCAACAGAAGATGGGTGTTGCAACAGGACAATGACCCAAAGCATAGAAGAAAATCAACAACAGAATGGCTTAAACAGAAGAAAATACGCCTTCTGAAGTGGCCAAGTCAGAGTCCTGACGTCAACCCGAATGAGATGCTGTGGCATGACCTCAAGAAAGCGATTCACACCAGACATCCCAAGAATATTGCTGAACTGAAACAGTTCTGTAAAGAGGAATGGTCAAGAATTACTCCTGACCGTTGTGCACATCTGATCTGCAACTGCAGGAAATGTTTGGTTGAAGTTATTGCTGCCAAAGGAGGTTCAACCAGTTATTAAATCCAAGGGTTCACATACTTTTTCCACCTTAACTGTGAATGTTTACATGGTGTATTCAATAAAAACATGGCAACATTTCATTCTTTGTGTGTTATTAGTTTAAGCAGACTGTGATTGTCGATTGTTGTGACTTAGATGATGATCAGATCACATTTTATGACCAATTTGTGCAGAAATCCATAGCAGGAGGTATAGCTTGGAGGAAAGACGAGACAGGGGGGATATGATAGAAACATTTGAATACATAAAGGGAATCAACACAGTAAAGGAGGAGACTGTATTTAAAAGAAGAAAAACTGGGGGCGGGGCCTGGGCATCATGGCGGCTGGCTGCACATTGAGTGAGCTCTTAGCTTGATCTACAAACCCTGTCTGAATTACAGACAGACAGCCCGCCACAAACGACTCACCCAGCTACTTACCCGTAACTGGTGTCCCAGGGCAAGATCGTTAAGCTTTCAGCGACTAACCAGCTTATATCTCGCACAGAGACCTCACTGTGGCCTACCGTCGCTGCGGGAATGATGAAGCGGCTGATCATCTACCCAGCGTGACGCTGCAACACATGGGGACGGCTAACTACCCCATAATCCCCCCCCCTCTGGACAGGTGGGGGTTATCCTGGTCCCCACTGGGTCCACTAAGCCTGCACCACGAAGCCTGACAGGAGAACACCCGCAAGCTACGCGGCACCTTCAAGATGGCCGCTGCAGTACAACCTCAGCACAGCCCAACAAGCTGTGCTGAGGTTGTGGAGCTGGAGAGAGGCCTTTGATGCTCGGTTTGAGGCAATATGCCAAGCCTTCTGGGACTGCATCGCCAAGCGTGGACCCCTACATACCCTTCCCAAGACAGAGACTTCTTGTCAAGCAGCAGCTGATGCCCGTCCCTCTTCTGGGCTGGGGGCCCAACTGGAGATCCCTCCAGGCAGTAGTTCGACTATCTGCAGGGAAGACCGCCATCCGGAAACCCCGGGGACCCACGATCCCGCCACTTGGAGAAGGGGGATCCACGGACCGAGGGCACTGGCTCTCTTCAAGGCCCGGAGCCGAAGAGACAGGGACTTGTCATGCTGCAAAACACCGACACTTTGTTTGCTGCACGGGCAGTGCAGCCTGACTTTCGGCATGCCGGAGAGAGGGACCGATACATCTAACCTGGAGCTGGCCTTTTCACTGTGGCATGTACGGGGTATTGGCTGAGGACAGCTGACAATGCCTCCTTCAGACCCTCTCCTGAAGCATGACAAACGGTCTGATTTCTGATAAACCTAATGTGGACGCTGATGGTTTTACCTGGCTTGTGGCTTAAACATGCTCTCTCACAGCACAGATGGCAATGTTAACCGTGTATTTTAGCTTATAACCTAGTTAACCTTATATGTTGACGCTCAGGTATTTACAAGCAACCCAGTGGCTACTATCTCTTGACACTTAGGTAGACCCTCTCCTTTTCTGTTCAGATTGCTGATTATGCTTCCATAGACTACAGACGCTGCATGACAACCAATCTTTGACATATCCTCTAGCTATTCTGCAGCAGACTGTCCGCTCACTACCTAGCATGACACACAGTGATCTACCTGAGTATTAGCCTGTTTCTCTGACGTTATGTTCCTACTACGTATAAAAATTGTGCAGACCCACAGCCACAATGTTTTCAATTCTATATTAATCTTATGTGTGCTTATGCTGTTGTGGCAAGGCATGCCTGTAATGTGATTTGTGCACGACAAAAATAAAGAATATAAAAAAGAAAAAGAAGAAGAACTACCTCAACAAGAGGACATAGTCTTAAATTAGTGGGGCAAAGGTTTAGAAATAATAGCAGGAAGTATTACTTTACTGAGAGTGTAGTGGACACATGGAATAGCCTTCCAGCTGAAGTGGTAGAGGTTAACACAGTGAGAGATTTAAGCATGCGAGGGATAGGCATAAGGCTATCCTAGACTTAAGATAAGGCCAGGGACTAATTAAAAGTATTTCGAAAATTGGGCAGACTAGATGGGCCAAATGGTTCTTATCTGTCGTCTCATTCTATGTTTACTGAATCCAGCCCTGTTGCCAACTGGGTTCTGTACCTGCAGAGACACACTGGCACCTCCAGCTGATTCTCCGAATATGGTAATATTGCTGGAGTCTCCTCCAAAGGCAGCAATATTCCTTTTTACCCAAGCAATAGCCATATGTTGATCCCACAGTGCATAGTTACCTGTGTACAAGAAGTTCATAATTAGGGATGTTGAAACAACACTGACATTTCAAATCTTTTAAAGTTTTGCTGTGTGCCATCATTCTGGCCATTAATGAAATGGTTTAATATCGTTTGGGATTATATAAAAGGAGTTGTAAGTGTTAATGCAAAGCTCAGCACCATCTTTGATTAATCTATGAAAAGACTAAGATGTCGGTACAGAACCTGATGGAAATGGGTCTTACCAGGCATATTAGAATCTCCAGTACTGAGAAAACCTAAAGGTCCGACACGGTAGTTAAAGGTTACCACAATGACATTGCCACGAAGAGCAACTTCCTCTCCATCATACAGATAATTGTCCAAGAAGTTGGCCCCTTGACCTCCACCAAGAAGGAAGCCTCCACCGTAGATCCACACCATAACTGGTAGTTTTGAAGAGACTGAGAAAAATAGACGTTCATTACAAATAATAATAGGAAATGCTGAATTCACTAATGTAAAGAAACTGACCAGTTCAACCCAAACTGCAATCATAAGAGGCTAAATGTGTTGCTTTGCCCAACAGTCTAGTTTTTACAGGCCAACCAAGTGTTGGGCAACAAAGGGAACAATATGCTGGACCCATGTAAATGATGGATGGCTAACCAGCACAATAAATCCAATGTGGTAATCTATGAACTTGAAGGTCCTAAAATTTGCATGGCACACATAGATTTTCTAAACTTGATCGAAGTAGTTCTGTATGCCTTTTCTTTTCGATAATTTTGTTCTACAATTATTTGGTCAATTTCCAGGTTAGTGACTAACTTTAAAAGACTTTTCTTCCAAAAATATATTTCAGAATAGTTAAGAGTAAGATTATATTCGGTATTTAGAATTTACTTAGTTTAATACATTTTTCCATAGTTGCATCAGTATAATGAATGTGAAAACATGTAGAGAATTTGAGTAGATGAGCAATTCTATTTTGAAATATTCTCACATGTTAGTACATTATTTTAGTGTCATCATAGCAACTGACCTGCAGAGCGGGACTGGGGAACCCAAATGTTCAAATACAGGCAGTCCAGTTCTCCACGAACGCCAGTTTGGGTTAAGTCAGATTGCAAACATCTTGGCTTGTAGTCAGTGGTCTTTAATGTACCTAAAGAGGTAGAACATGAACCAGTTGTTGAATTAAGAAAGCTTACTGTGATATATAAAAGGGAACTTTATCTTACCCCCCCAAAAAAATTGAAATTATTATATATACACTGAACAAAATTATAAACGTACCACTTTTGTTTTTGCCCCTATTTTTGCCCACTCAAAATACTGACTGGTTTCACCCCCTCGGACCCTCCCAATAGAGTAAAACGTCACATTTTAAAGTGGCCTTTTATTGTGGCCAGCCTAAGGCACACCTGTGCAATAGTCATGCTGTCTAATCAGCATCTTGATATGCCACACCTGTGAGGTGGACGGATTATCTCGGCAAAGGAGAAGTGCTCACTAACACAGATTTAGACAGATTTGTGAACAATATTTGAGAGAAATAGGCCTTTTGTGTACATAGAAAAAGTCTTAGATCTTTGAGTTCAGCTCATGAAAAATGGGGGCAAAAACAAAAGTGTTGCGTTTATAATTTTGTTCAGTGTATTTAAAGCACCTGATATTGTTACTTGTTTCATTTCTGTGTGCTGGACTTTGCAACAAATTCTGCAGATCTCTACAATTCACCCGCTTGAATTCACCAGTTTTAATTTGCTTGTGTAAATTCGCCAGAAAATTTCAAATTTTGACCTGAATGTAATGTGCCATCAAATCTAATGCACGTTAAAATTGTGGAAACTTACTTTTCCAAAAATACGGTATATACAGATACAACGGGAGTTGAGGACTCTCCTTATGAGCTTACAATCTATAATAGTGGTGATATCAGAGCATATGCTTCTCTTCTTGCCTAGATTTCTGTCTTTTCCAAAGGAGGAAACAAGGTTGAAGGTCTGGGTCCTCACTTGGGCCATCTGTACAATGAGTGAGTGACATTGTCTATAAAAGGGCAGAATCACCTAGGAAATTAATCTGGCATCTGCTGTTTTAAGAGGCCCTGGTGAGGTCTTCATGAGGCAACAAGCCATTTGCAATTTGAAAATAAGAAATTTGTTCAAAGCGGCCCTATAATGAACTGAGAAACCTCTGGGTTAAATCCATGAAATTCCCAAAATGTTATGGCTTTTACATAAAGAAACTTACTGCAAGCATACGTATAAGAATATATGGAAGTAAGCATACATGGAACTTTAAAACATACATGGAAAATTGTTACATGCTCTTTTGCAAGAATAGGTGAGCACAGTCCAGTAATGGTAGTCACAAGCTGTAAAAAGAGCTGGACTGGGGGTGGAGTCTAACCATCAATGCGGACAGACGTGTGAGCCCTTCGCTCTCCCTCTTAGGAGTTACAATCAGCCACCATTCGCACGTTTTACCAAGCATCCAGCCTCCAAAAAGGCTCCCCCGACAACCCACGACATAACCCGACTGACGAGAGAATGGGAGCCATGAAAAAAAAAGAAAGAACTTCCACCCTTTGTGGCCACATTGTTCCGGACCCCAAAGGAACAAGGGCAGCCATCTTTGAGCCAAGGCCTACCAGACTCAGGCTCCGACGGCAGTGTTGCATCAGAGAGACAACAAGCCCCGCTCACAAAGCCGGACCTCCGGCACATGCTACAGGAAGCCACTGCAGAAATAAAGATGCACACCGCAACAGAGCTCGATCAGCAAATCTCGGGCTTCAAGGAAGATCTCGAGGCCTTAACAGAGCGTACAACTCAGGCGGAGCGCGACATAACTGGCTTAAAAACAGAAACAACACAGCATACCCAAGATTTCTTTTACCTGAGCAACAAGTTCCAATTCATGGAAGATAACCTTGAGGATTTAAACAACCGATCCAGAAAAAACAATATTAGAATCCGGGGCCTGCCGGAAACAGTGCTGGCGGACGCCATTTTGCCCGAGCTTCAGGAAATCTTTTGAACCCTGCTACCAGATTCCACAGACCAAGACTGGGAAAAAGATCAGGCACACAGAGCCCTCTGCCCACCGGCCTTCAACACCACAGCCCCAAGAGACATTATCGTACGAATGCTCCACTTTACCACCAAAGAGAGGCTAATGGCGAATACACAGAACACACCGCCAAAATATCAGGGACACACGCTCACTTTCTTTCAAGAACTGGCACCCACAACTCTGAAGAAAAGGAGATAACTCAAGCCTTTTATGACAGTGCTAACCCAACAAGGCCTCAAATACCGATGGGGCATCCGTTCAAGCTGACGGTTCGCCAAGGAGACCAAGATCACATACTTTGCTTCAGCTGTAGGCCTCACTTTACAAGCTCCAGACCAGCACACCTCAGACGCCAATAGGCCCAACACCCCGCTTCCCCCGAGGCAGAACACACGGAAGAGACCACCCCAACAGCCCAGAGGCGCTGTTTAGAGTCCCACTTGATGAACTCTAAGATACCTCTGATAAGCACTCTTTACAGGGAATGGACACTCCTCATATTAACCTTCAGATAAGTATATTATTTATATTGTTTTGCTAATGCCAAACTCAACATTTTTTATTGTTGTTGGGCTTATATTGCCTCACACAGGTCCAGGCAGTACCCACATACACAGGGAGGGTACAGGGCTGAACCACTGGCAAGTCACCAGTGGGGCCCCAAGGCACTTACACCTAACCTCAAACTATAGAACCAGCCCCCGACCTCCCATTTCACGAAGACAAGCCCACATGTCACACCTTAACCAGGGCCGGCGCTACTTGTTAGGCGGACTAGGCAGCCGCCTAGGGCGCCCCTTGGGAAGGGGCGCCGCCAGGAGCGCCGGCCCCCCCATGCTGCAGCCGCCCGAGCGCTCTGTAAAGAGCCTCAGGCAGCTGCAGCTTTGCCCGGGCGGTGCGTCCATGAGGGCGGACCGCACCGCCCGGGCGCAACCTGAGGAGAGGGGCTGACAGGAGGGAAGCGCTCCCTCCTGTCACTCCCTCAGTTGCAGCGTGGCCGAGCCCTGCATCATGATGGTCCGACGGGTACAGGGAGCATCTGTCTCCTGTACTCGGCCGGACTAACACTTCCTGTTAGTCCGGCCGGGTACAGGAAACAAAAGCAACCTGTACCCGCGGACCATCATGATGCAGGGCTCGGCCACGCTACAACAAAGGTAGGAGGGGAGTAGAAAGAAATTGGGAGGGAAGGGGGGAGAAGAAATGGGGAGGGGAGTGGGCGGGGGTATGTAGAAATTGTGAGGGGTGAGGGGCAGAGAAGAAATTGTGAGGGGGAGGGGGGAGATGAACTGGGAGGAGGGGGCAAGAAGAAATTGGGAGGAGGGGTAAGAAGAAATTGTGAGGGAGGGGGGAGAAGAAATTGGGAGGAGGGGTAAGAAGAACCAGAGGGGAGGGGGGAGAAGAAATTGGGAGGAGGGGGTAAGAAGAAATTGTGAGGGAAGGGGGGAGAAGATATTGGCAGGTGAGGGGGGGGGAGAAGAAGAAACTGGTAGGGAGGGGGAGAAGAAGAAACTGCGGGGAGAAGAAGAAATTGGTAGGAGGGGGTAAGAAGAAATTGAGGAGGGGAGAGAAGAAATTGGGAGGGAGGGTGAAGAAATTGGGAGGGAGGGGGAAAAGAAATTGGGAGGAGGGGAGAAGAGAAGAAATTGAGGAAGGGAGAAGAACAGGGAAGGAGAAGAAATTGGTAGTGGAGGGGAGAAGAAATGGGGAGGGATAAAAAATAAATTGGTAGGGAGGGGAGAAGAAATGGGGATGGTGGGAGAAGAAGAAATACAGGAGGGTGGGAGAAGAAGAAATTGGCAGGAGGGGAGAAGAAGAAATTGGGGAGGGGGGAGAAGAAGAAATGGGGAGGGGAGGGGGGGAGAAGAAGAAATTGGTAGGGGAGGGGGAGAAGAAGAAATTGGTAGGGGAGGGGGGAGAAGAAGAAATTGGTGGGGGGGAGAAGAAATTGACGGGGGTGAGAGTTACAGGGGAGGAAGGGGCAATGAGAGTGGGAAGGGGGAGGGGAGAAGAGAGTGACAAGGGAGGGAGAGGGGGGAGAAGAGAGTAACAAGGGAGGGGGGAGAGATTGACATCCATCACACACACATGCAATGCACCCCTTGCACACAGAAAAACACACAATGCATTACACACACAGACACACACACACACAAACAATGTAACCCTTACACACAATGCATCCCTTACACACACAGAAACACACAATGCATTCCTTACACACACTCAATGCACCCCTTACACACGCACACACTGCATCCTGTACATACACAGAAACACACCTTGCAGCCCTTACACATACAAACACAGATTCACACAATGCATTCCTTACACACATATCAGGACATCCCCTACACACTCCACCCCCTGTGAACAAACTCATTGGTGGAACATGAAGGTGGACCCTGGGACCCAGACCTTGAGCTGTGTAAAGGGCCCCCCAAAAATGGAGCTGCTTCCCGTTCTCCCAGAATATTGATTTTTTTAACCAGAGTTACAAACAGCCTCCAGAGAGCCTGTTCTACACCAGACCAGTGGAGCCAGACTGCAGCTAGAGCCCATCATCATCCTCATCTCGTTGTAAGTAGGCAATCTAGTATATTATTCGTGGCACTAATCTCCAGTTTACCTCACATTAAAGAAACACTATAGTCCCCAGAACCACTGCAGCTTAATGTAGTGGTTCTGGTGTCTATAGCCTGTCCCTGCATGCCTTATAATGTAAACATGGCGGCACTGCAGCACTGGCGTTAGTTAACATGGCAGATCATATGGGTGGAGCATTGTGATGTCACATGGGGGGGGGGGCGGCAAACTTTACTTTTGCCTAGGGCGGCAAAAATCAATTGTATGATCGTCAAATTTCCAATACAATACAGGAGCATATTCTTTTCTCCCCTAACAGTAAACCTTTTATCACAGAACTCTGGCACTGTGTCTACATCATAAAGTTATTAACACATATAAACAGACCAGCGCCACTCCATCTATAATAATTTTTCTAGGTTGTTCAGGATTAGCCCTTTAAGGTTATTCAGTTGTTTATGTGTAAGTTATTACTAATAATTATTTGTGGGCTATATAGTTTGTTTATACCACAAAAGTATGATTCAGTCTCCACATTTGGAGTGTGGTGTAGAGCTACCTTCTATTTGTTTATTTCGGACGGCCTGTCCTCCACCAGTTCAGTACCCACCCAGTTCAATATGTGTACTTGCATGCCTTATCTCTTATTCTTCACTCACCCCTTAATGGTCACCCAGCCACACACCTAATGCACACCAGTGTTGGGGCTAATGCCACCTTAGCATAACAAAGCACACCCTAGACCAGGGGTAGGCAACCTTTTAGCAGCACTGTGCCGATATAGGATTGTGATGTCCCATAGCGTGCTGATCCTATCTTTTTTTAAATTGAGGTGTGTATGTTGCCGTATTCTACTTGTGTTATCTGTACTGTAATTGCTTTGTATCATTGTATTTGTGCGTATATGAGCTATTAGATTGAATGTGTTCATTAGTAGTTTATGGTATCGTGTATAAAACATATAAATGTGGGCTCTGTATGAGGGCTGCTTGTGGAATTGTGTGTGGATGGATATGTCACATTGTGTGTTTGGTAGTGTGTGTGGGCTGTTTGGGGTATTGCATGTGAGAGGCTGAATGTGGGGTTGTGTGCATGTATGTGGATTGTTAGAGGGTTACGTTTGTGCGAATTGTGTGTATGTTTGTTTGTGGGCTGTTCGTATTATTTGTATGAGGGGAGGGTTATTCTGCATTTCTGTGTATATCTAGCAGTGTGGGTGGCTTCCCTGGGTTCCAGTGGGGACCAGGCTGGCCAGGTACATGTCAAGGACAGGAGCAGTAACAGCAGCTGCAGGCTGCTCTACTACAGTGTGGATTCCCATTCACAAGTGCTGGGAGGAAGTGATCTGAGATCACTTCCTCTATGTGCTGCAATGTATGGATTGTCCATCACCACCTTTTCGTATTAGCAGATATCTGAAGTTTTACTGGGACTCCTGATAGGCCAGAGCCTGTTTGGCTCTAGCAGCCTTGAGTGCCGTGAAAAAACACCTTGAGTGCCGTGCATGGCCGTGCAACGAGATCCCACTACCATCCCTCACCCCGGCTATGGCCAAAAGCCTGATCAAGCCCATCACAATAGAAGAAGTGGCCCGAACTATTAGACACATCAAACCGAAAAAAAGCCCAGGCCCTGACGGCTTCACAGGCTTTTACTATAAAACTTTCTCTACAATACTTCTACCCCACCTATGCAACCTCTTCAACTCTATCCTAAGGGTTGATCCAATACCCCCAGACATGCTTAGGGCCAATATATGCCTCCTACCCAAGCCGAACAAAACCCATACTGACCCAGGACACTACAGGCCCATCTCCCTATTGAACGTGGACATTAAACTGTTCACAAAATTAATGGCAGATAGACTCAGAGTTTACTCCTCACACATTCACTACCTAGGAATAAACCTACCGGCAGATATAACCCAGACCTACTCCCTGAACTACATCCAACTGCTACAACAGGCGAAGACAGACATCACATCATGGGAAGGTCTTTCCATATCATGGCTGGTTAGGCTAGCCTCAATAAAAATGAACATACTTCCCAGGTTCCTATACCTATTTCAGACGCTGCCTATCCCTCAATCCACAAAAGACTTCAAAAGTCTACAAATCCACATAGACCAATTCATATGGGCACATAAAAGAGCCAGGATAGGAAAGGGCGTAATGAATATCACACAAGGGCAGGAGGCCTGGGATTACCACAGATGCAACAATATTTTCACGCGGCACAACTAGCCCAAATACAAACCTTACACGCCCCGGCAGGACTTAAGAGATGGGTAGATCTGGAACACGACTTGTTCAGTAGGGACATCCCCCCACTATATATCTGGCTGCCAAAACAAGCTAGGCCTAAACTCCCACAGACAACCCCAGCCCTCACAACCTCCATTGCAATCTGGAACAAACTCGCATTCAAACACGCACTCACAATGTAACCGTCCCCCCTAACCCTGATTCTGCAGAACAAACACTTTGCCCCGGGAATGCACCCGCACAACTTCACACATTACGAAGACAATAACCTAACCAGAATATTTCAATTTTACAGAAACCACCAACTAATCACTTTTCCATTTTTCCCCTGCAGTACACCATTCAACACCCACGACACATACCTACAAATTAGAAACTTCCTAGACAATACCACCTACAAACAAGCAGGACAAACAACACCCACAGCTTTGGAAAAAGCTTGCATGAAAAACCCTGTAAACAAAGGTCAATATCTCCCTCCTAGTCCGCGCCACACCTGATCATACTCTATTTTATGTCTCGGCTTGGGAGAGGGACCTGGGTCCACCCGACGACCCTACAGTGTGGGGGCACATTTGGGAAGCCACTGCGACAGTCATTATCTGCATCAACCATAAAAAACAGGCTTATAAAACACTCATGAGATAGTACCTCACACCTCTCCGATTGAAGCAAATGAGAATGTCCATGGGCGATCACTGTTGGAAGGGATGCGGGCAAAAAGGCACATACTACCATTTATGGTGGGAATGGCAAGAATAACACCAATCTGGATGGAAACCACTAACATAGCTTCCCAAACGTTACTCACAAACGTACAAAAAGACCCCTGGACATGGTTGCTGGCCAAACCCCTAAAAGACACACCCTGCACAAATAACAAGCTTATAGCAAAATTGGCGTTAGCCACCAGAAGAGCAATAGCATCTCACTGGGGAGCGTCACTATAAGAGACATTAAATGGAAAATAGAGGAAACCAGGAAAATGGATACCCTTTCTGCTATAATACACGATACAATTAAACACTGCGATAAAATATGGAACCCCTGGCTGTTCGAATTCCCAATCTCCACTTACAGCCCGGGCACCGGAAAAGGTAGCAACGACAACACTACACGCAAACCTACCCAATCGCAATTTGACAACACACTCTCACAACCTCAATACGGATAACTCTCCCATACACCCCCTCCTATCCATCACCAGTAGACCCCCACCTAGACCTTCCCTACCCCGGGATGAAGGTGGAACCTCATCCAACACGTTACCAGGACAGCAGAGGAATACACTGCCCACCGTACCACTGGCCGTGCACTCGCACACAACCCCAGAATGAAGAACTAGTCACGAGATGACATACAAGACTGGCTACTATGCCCCAACACCACACACCAAGCCACAACCTCTTGTACCAGGCAAATGGAAATGGCCAGATCAACCCCCATAGGGGGACACTACGCTACCATAACGGTCACCATTGATAGCTTTACTCGATGTGCACAATCCAAATGCAGATAAACCAACCAGGACTGCCCGGTATCAGGGCAGCTCGCATTCAACCAACCCCAACCCTGTACAAAAGGGGCTCACTGACAACTCAAACAAGCACAATTCACACCACTGCATCAAATTAAGCTAAAAATAGTTACCTTGATGTGAATATCCTCTGTTTAATTATCCCGCTTTATGTGATCATTTGTTACCTTTTTTCTTATTATGGTGCACTCACCTCGGAAACGCAAAAAAAAAGAATAAAAAATAAAATAAAATAGCTGGACTAAGTCTATAGCAGGGATAGGCAACCTTCGGCACTCAAGGTGTTGTGGACTACATCTCGCTCAATGCTCCTACAGTCATAATGCTGGCAAAGCATTAGGGTAGATGCAGTCCACAACATCTGGAGTGCCAAAACTTGCATACCACTGGTCTAGACCATCCTAAAGTAAGCATAGGTTCTGTAGTAGGTATAGAATAGGTGAATTCTATAGTCAGCTCTTTCACCTAGTTAATTAGGGTTGAAAAGTGCTGGCAACTATCTGCCAAACATAGAACCTCTAGATCCTATATATTACTTATTATCCTAGGCATGCGTATGAACGCCTAGTTCATTAGCTGGCATAGTAAAAGATCGTAAGTTATAGACTTAAGGTGAAGAAAAAAGGAAAGACGCTTAATAGCCTGTGGAAGTGAGTTGTCATAAACCCAAATATAGTGGTGTTTTAAGCAGCCTTACTAGTAGTAGGTGGCAAATTTGGCTGACAAAAAGAAGGAACAGAGGTGTAGAATGGTGGTTGTTATGAGGAAAGGTGTGGTGTATTACCAAAGCTACCACAGAAGTAATATTCAAAATAGAGCCAAAAACACTGATTAACCAAAATAGAGGCAAATCTTTAAATTGTCTGTATACAGGTAGAAACTAGCAAGAATTTACCTGACCAGCCAGGATGGGGTCCTGCTTTTTCAAGAACATTTGGTGGAGCAGCAAAGGGAATCCCCTTGAAAATATCAATGTAATCTGGGGAAATAACGCCAATTTTTTTGCTTGTTCCCTCCACAAATCCCCCTTCCGTGTGGACAACTCCCAGCTGTAAATACAAGAGTTTACTATTACAAGATATTCCCTGTGCTTGGTATAACATTAGAACAGGCATATAGAAAGTAGGGCACTGTGATCAGTACATCTCTGATTTCTTTGACCAGTCGCCATTACTGGAGTTGTACATCTTCGAGGCTCCAGAGACGAATAGAAAACAAAAATGTAACCTTATAGAGATACATTTATTGAAGCAGAAGTGCAGATCATCTTGGCCATTCTGTGGTTATCACTTTTATCTTACACGGTCACAGCTATTTTAGTCTACCATGGTAACACTTTCAAGAGGTAAGAGTTGAGTCCTCCAGGGACTGAAGCCTGGTGTCATTGTGACTGTGCTGTGAGTGATCAAAGATCTCCTTCACTGGCTCACTCATACTTAGTTAGGGGAGAGGGAGGGAGTTAGGACCCAGGAGGTTATGTGTTCATCCCACGAGGAGGGCAATGATATGCTCTGCTCATGGGAGAAGTAAAGGCAGCCTGCAACCGGAGGACATATAGCTTTTAATTATTCATTTTTTATATTTTTTTTTACACTGCATCTCCTCACACACATACATGGCACCCCTCGCACACACACTGCACCCCCACACACTGTACCCCCACCCACATACTGCACCTATCACACACACACTGCATCCCCCCACACACTGCACCCCTCATTGCAGTCTGTGTGTGTATTCAGCAGTCTGTGTGTGTGTGTGTGTATTCAGCAGTCCGTGTGTTTGTTTTCTGCAGTCTATGCAGGGCCGGACTGGGGAAAAAATTCGGCCCGGGCATTTTTTATTACAGCAGCCCACTGAAAAGGGGGCGGGGCCAGATTGGGTGTGTTTTGTCATCCCCAATGACAAGCACGCCCCATCTCAAAGTGAGCATGTTGGTTCAATGCTCTTCCAGGTCATGAGAAAAGGGCCCTGTATTTGATCTGCACAGCGCAAGCAAATTTAATAACATGCTTGCATTGTGTTTGCTTGAAACTTGTCTCAGGGGTTTCCATAATTGGAATACTCACTGTATCCCATTTATGGAGACACTATGTGTTTGCTTAAAGGATATCTAGTGTGTTCATAGGGGATCCTGAGTGTGTAAGTCAGAAATGTAGTGTGTGTGTAAGTGGTGCAGCGTCTGTGTGTAGGGGATCTAGTGAGTGTGTGACTGGTGCAGTGTGTTTGGGGGGTGCTGTGTGTGTGAGGGGTGTAGTGTGCATTTGTGAGGAGTATAGTGTGTGTGGGAGGGTGCAGTATGTGTGTGGGAGGGTGCTGTGTGTGAGGGCGCTGTGTGTGAGGGCACTGTGCGAGGGTTCTGTGTATTTGAGGGTGATGTGTATTTGAGGGTGATGTGTATTTGAGGGTGATGTGTGTGTGTGTGTGTGTGTGTGTTGGGTTGCTGTGTGTGTGTTGGGTTGCTGTGTGTGTGTTGGGTTGCTGTGTGTGTGTTGGGTTGCTGTGTATGTGTTGGGGTGATGTGTGTGTGTGTGCTAGGTTGCTGTATGTGTTAGGGTGCTGTGTCAATGTTAGGGTGCTGGTGTTAGGGTTAGGGTGCTGGTGTTAGGGTGCTGTGTGTGTGTTAGGGTGCTGTGTCAATGTTAGGGTGCTGGTGTTAGGGTGCTGTGTGTGTATGTTGGGGTGCTGTGTGTGTGTTAGGGTGTTGTGTGAGTGCTACGGTGCTGTGTGTGTGTTAGGGTGATGTGTCAATGTTAGGGTGCTGGTGTTAGGGTGCTGTATGTGTGTTGGGGTGCTGTGTGTGTGTTGGGGTGCTGTGTGTGTTAGGGTTCTGTGTCAATGTTAGGGTGCTGGTGTTAGGGTGCTGTGTGTGTGTTAGGGTGCTGTGTGTGTGTTAGGGTTCTGTGTCAATGTTAGGGTGCTGTGTGTGTGTTAGGGTGCTGTGTCAATGTTAGGGTGCTGGTGTTAGGGTGCTGTGTGTGTGTTAGGGTGCTATGTGTGTTAGGGTGCTGTGTGTATGTTAGTGTGCTGTGTGTGTTAGGGTTCTGTGTCAATGTTAGGGTGCTGGTGTTAGGGTGCTGTGTGTGTGTTAGGGTGCTGTGTGTGTGTTAAGGTTCTGTGTGTGTGTTAGGGTTCTGTGTCAATGTTAGGGTGCTGGTGTTAGGGTGCTGTGTCAATGTTAGGGTGCTGGTGTTAGGGTGCTGTGTGTGTGTTAGGGTTCTGTGTCAATGTTAGGGTGCTGTGTGTGTGTTAGGGTGCTGTGTGTGTGTTAGGGTGCTGTGTGTGTGTTAGGGTGCTGTGTCAATGTTAGGGTGCTGGTGTTAGGGTGCTGTGTGTGTGTTAGGGTGCTGTGTGTGTGTTAGGGTGCTGTGTCAATGTTAGGGTGCTGGTGTTAGGGTGCTGTGTATGTGTTAGGGTGCTGGGTGAGGGTGATGTGTGTGTTTGCCAGGATTTTGTATTGGGGGAGGCAGGTAAATGGCACTATTAATGTTTTACTAAAAAATAAAAATAAATACATAATAATAAATAATAAAAATAAATACATAATAAATACTAATAATAAATAATAAAAATAAATACATACTAATAAATACTAATAATAAATACTAATAATAAATAATAAATACATACTAATAAATACTAATAATAAATAATAAAAATAAATACATACTAATAAATACTAATAATAAATACTAATAATAAATAATAAAAATAAATACATACTAATAAATAATAATAAATACTAATAATAAATACATACTAATAAATACTAATAATAAATAAAAATAAATACATACTAATAAATACTAATAATAAATACTAATAATAAATAATAAAAATAAATACATACTAATAAATACTAATAATAAATACATACTAATAAATACTAATAATAAATAAAAAATAAATACATACTAATAAATACATTATATCCCCCCCCCTCTATTCTTACCTGTAGCCTGGAAGGGGGGGTGGGGGGGTCGTGCTGCTGACATCCATCCCTGGTGGTCCTCGTGGTAAGTGAACTCTAGCCCTTTGGGGCTAGAGTTCACTCTTCCGAGTCCCGGCCGGCTGCCATAGCAACGGTCCGGATCTCGCGAGAGAAACCCGGCGGAGCTGCAAGTTAGAGCTCCGCCGGGTCCTCTCTCCTGGCGGCGGGATCCCCCCCCTCTCTCCCCGCCGGCCCTCCATGGAAGACAGCGGGGCTGGCGCTCGGATAGCGCCGGCCCTGCATAGACCGGCAGGGGAGATCCTGGGACCTGCCCTGCCGGCCTTGGCCCATGGCCACCGCGGCCCACCGGGCATTTGCCCGGTGTGCCCGATGGCCAGTCCGGGCCTGAGTCTATGTGTGTGTATTGAGCAGTCTGTGTGTGTGTGTGTACTCAGAGGTTTGTGTGTGTGTGTTCAGCATTCTGTGTGTGTGTATTCAACAGTCTGTGTATTCAGAAGTCTGTGTGTGTGTGCTCAGCGGTTTGTGTGTGTGTATTCAACAGTCTGTGTGCGTGAGTATTCAGCAGTCTGTATTTACTCAGCCGTCTGTCTGTGTGTGTGCGCATTCAACAGTCTGTATGTGTGTGTATTCAGCAATCTGTGTGTCTACTCAGTGGTTTGTGTGTGTGTGTATTCAGCAATCTGTGTGTGTGTACTCAGTGGTTTGTGTGTGTGTAGTCAAAGGTCTGCGTGCGTGAGTATTCAGCAGTCTGTATTTACTCAGCCGTCTGTCTGTGTGTGTGTGCGCATTCAACAGTCTGTATGTGTGTGTATTCAGCAATCTGTGTGTCTACTCAGTGGTTTGTGTGTGTGTGTATTCAGCAATCTGTGTGTGTGTACTCAGTGGTTTGTGTGTGTGTAGTCAAAGGTCTGCGTGCGTGAGTATTCAGCAGTCTGTATTTACTCAGCCGTCTGTCTGTGTGTGTGTGCGCATTCAACAGTCTGTATGTGTGTGTATTCAGCAATCTGTGTGTCTACTCAGTGGTTTGTGTGTGTGTGTATTCAGCAATCTGTGTGTGTGTACTCAGTGGTTTGTGTGTATGTATTGTATGTATGTATTGCATTTGTTGGAGGTACGAATAAATATAATCACCATTTTATCAATTTTATCAAGTGGTTGTATAGGCAGGGCCTATGTGTGTGTATTGAGCAGTCTGTGTGTGTGTGTGTGTGTGTGTACTCAGAGGTTTGTGTGTGTGTATTCAGCATTGTGTGTGTGTATTCAGCAGTCTGTGTATTCAGAAGTATGTGTGTGTGTGTACTCAGCGGTTTGTGTGTGTGTGTATTCAACGGTCTGTGTGCGTGAGCATTCAGCAGTCTGTATTTACTCAGTCGTCTGTCTGTGTGTGTGTGCGCATTCAACAGTCTGTATGTGTGTGTATTCAGCAATCTGTGTGTGTACTCAGTAGTTTGTGTGTGTGTGTGTGTGTGTGTATTCAGCAATCTGTGTGTGTGTACTCAGTGGTTTTTGTGTGTAGTCAACGGTCTGTGTGCGTGAGTTTTCAGCAGTCTGTATTTACTCAGCCGTCTGTCTGTGTGTGTGTGCGCATTCAACAGTCTGTATGTGTGTGTATTCAGCAATCTGTGTGTGTACTCAGTGGTTTGTGTGTGTGTATTCAGCAATCTGTGTGTGTGTACTCAGTGGTTTGTGTGTGTGTATTCAGCAATCTGTGTGTGTGTACTCAGTGGTTTGTGTGTATGTATTTTATGTTTGTATTGCATTTGTTGGAGGTACAAATAAATATAATCACCATTTTATCAATTTTATCAAGTGGTTGTATAGGCAGGGCCTGAGTGCACTGTTTTGCCTGAAGACCTACAATGCTGTTAATACGGCCCTGTTGTAAGGCATGCCCAATGCACATTTCCAGCATTTCTAAGAATAGGACACTGATTGGTTAGATCGGTGTTCTCCTGGGGTGGGTGTGGAGAGCATAAGTAAGAAAAAGCAGGTAAATATAAAAAAACTAATCATATTTATCTGTTTTTATTAGCTGGCACAGAGAGGCAACCGTCTAGTTTAAAGCTAAAGCTTTTGATGATGTGTTGTGTTGATCCTTTAATACCGAATATAGGGACATACTGGATTTCAAACTTATCACCAGTTTTTCATCCAGATTTGGGAGGGAAGATTTAGCTAAATGCAAAGCCCGCACTGCTCTGTAAATAGTTCTCCTTCCTTTGGGCGACTTCACACATTTAAACATTCTGGTTAACTTCTCACTAAAGGGTGAATTGCTGAGAATTCAGTGTGAATTCAGTTTAAACTTCAGTTTTGTTTGTCTAAAACTGCCAAATTAGAAAAAAAAAATTTTTTAAATCAACTATGTTTTTGTACTAAAATTATTTGACATTCACTTTGAATTTCTGACAATCCACAAGTTAGTGAATAGTCAAAAGTGAATAGTATGACTTTGTAGTTGCCACTGCCTCTTGCCCAAGATCACCACATTCCCTATAGAAGATTGTGTGCATGTGTATATATTATATATATATATATATATATATATATATATATAAATATTAAATGATGCCAATAACTACTACATAAGTTTGGTGAACAAAGTCCTTGGATAAAACTGATTCCAAACTTTGGGCCTCAAGTATAAAAAGACTATTGAAGAGCAAAATGCTAACCAATGCTTATCAATCAGCAACAACATTTCCATGGAGATTGCTCCATCGCTAGAACTTTGTGACCATAACTCCCTGCATAAAACCAGCCCATGCTGTCACGGCAGTGATAAGACACCCACAAACTTATTCGCTTCACTAGAAATCATCGGAAATTCATCAGAGCATTTCAAATGTTTTTGTAAAAATAACTAAAATTCCCAAACACAGCAATATCTCTCGGCTTGGTTATTTTGACCTAACTTCTGAAATTCACTGATGAATATCTAACAACTTCCAGTTTATTGCACAACGATGCCAGGAAATAGCACATCTAGAATCTAATGGTTTAAACCCATTTGAACATGAAGATTTGGTCTTACCGTTGCAGCGTGGGCTGCAGCCAGGAGACAGGAGAACGCAAAGGTGAGAATCACCCAGCGAGACATAATGTCCGTCGTTCCTAGGGTCCTTTCCCAAATTTGGATTTGGAGATATGTACCTATATATATGTATCCTATCGTAAACACACCTACAGCTAAATTCCCATGGATGACTCCCAGTCATGGGTTAGATTAATGGCAATATACTTAGAGCAAGTGTTGGGTATTGCCAGGATATCTTGGCAGAAGGTTGTGAGACTCTCTACAGCTGCCCATACATGGTTTATCAAGTACAAGGGCCTCCTTGATCAGTTGCCCTTTGAAAAAACAAAATAAAAAAACAAAACTTGCATACGCAATAGTAAGAATTCAGATCAGATACATTGTAACATAAAAGGCCTTATGTAGTTTAGCCTTCCACTGTACAAAGTAAAACAAGCAAGAAAAGACACGTGAAAAATGTAACTTACAGAAAGAAGAGTAATTAAAGACATGGACATGCACATAAGGATGCATCATACATCACATATTCAGATTCTCTTTAACCCCTTAAGGACCAAACTTCTGGAATAAAAGGGAATCATGACATGTCACACATGTCATGTGTCCTTAAGGGGTTAAATGCCCATTTGAACATGATTGAATGTGAAATTATAATAATCCATAAATTCTACATAATGATAGAATGCTGCTTGGAGAGCTTGGCCGGTGAGTCCGATGTTGCACTACACTCTCATACGTTACTGAAAACATTGCAGACTTTGCTTAACACTTTGGAGGTGGGTGACAGTCAAGGGGCTAACGTAGGCCGGGTTTGGGCACCCGGGGTGGGGGTCACCTCAGACACGGGATCAGGAGCAGATTGTGCTGCGGGGAGTGAGCCATGAGTGAACTCAGCTCCTCCGGCGCTGTCGATGGATGTCGGGGGCAAGAAGGTGGAATTGGCTGGGGGTATCTTGGACGCGGCTAGGCAGCATGCGTAGGTTTATTTTGCAGGGCCGTTGGGGGTGCATTTAAAACAGGAACTGAAGGAGAAATTGTGGAAGGGTGAGTTTTGCGAAATATTCTCACTTCTTCCCTTGGAGGACTTTATTGACCTCAAGTAGGAGGACAAGTAGGATGAAAAGAAGAGGAGAAGCTGAGATATCGTAAGAGGGCATTTTGTGTCCTCGCCAGTGTGCTTGGGCAAAAGTTGATGGGGAAAAGGTGACAGGGCTGTGTTTATCATTGTTTTGCTACTTGGATGGAATATGGGAAGCGTACTGCACGTATGGCAGGCTCGCATGGTGGAAGTATGATGAGCAGTTCCAGCAACATGAGGTGGGACCAGATGGACCTGCCTCTGTGGATGAAGCTGATGAAGGCGCCATCCTTTCAGCAAGCGGCTGGCACAAAGGGGCAGTCCGCCTCATCTGCCACCTTGCAAAAGGGCTTATTCAATGAAGATGAGAGCAAGTGGGGGTCGGCATGTTGTTTCAAGTGCGAGTGCTTAGGTTGCGGGGGCGCCCACTGCCTTAACAGGTGTTTTAAGTGAGGGAAGGCTGGGGCCCCCATGGGGGCTGTCTCTACGGGGGGTGCACCCGCTGCCGCAGGGCTGAACCCCAGTGACCTTAGACACGATGGTGCCATGGCTAAAGCGTTATGGTAACAGGGCTGATGCGGAGCTGTTGCAGGTGGGTTTTGAGTCGGCTTTCTTCATTCCCTTCCAGGACAGGGGCGGTTTGCTGGGTTTTCGGAATTTGCGGTTGGTATCAGAGTTTCTGGAGGTGGTCTGGGACAAGCTGAGTAAGGAGGTTGGGCAGGATGGCAGGTCCTTTTGCTGAACCTCCGTTGGTCAATTTGCGGGTGTCCCTAAAAAGGAACTGGGTACATTTCGCCTTATACACCATTTCTCCTACCCCAAGGGGTCATTGGTGAACAACGAAATCGATTAGGACTGGTCCCTTACGCATCATTCGACCATGGTTGGTTAAGAGGGCAGGGCCTTAACAGCTAAGGTGGATGTGGAAACGGCTTTCCACCTTGAATGTCATCACTTGTTATGTTGTTACTTTGATGGAGTGTATTTTGTTGATTTGTGTTTTCCTATGGGATGTTCCATCTCCTGCTCTTACTTTGAAAAATTCAGCTCTTTTTTGGAGTGGGTTGTTTGGGCTGAGACTGGGAGCTGGTCAGTGGTGCACTACTTGGATTCCTTTCTCTGTGTGGGTCCAGCGGATTCCTCGGTCTGTCTTTACCTCTTGAGAAGGTGGCGGGGCAGTTTGGGGTTCCGCTTGCTTCAGTGCGTTTCAGACTGGGGAGCTTGTTAGCACTAACCGTGTGAGTTGTGGGGGCATTTAGGTGGATGATGTGCGCATTCAGGAGGGGTGACTCGTGATTTATTTGGCCCGGTCCAAGACCGATGTTCGGGGCTTGGGAGTGTCTCAGTTTTTTAGGTCTGGAAATTGACTCGGACAGAGGGGAGTGTCGACTGCCTCGGGATAAGCTGGTGGGGTTGTGGGGCGTGGTTTTGGAGGTACATCAGGCTAGGAAATTACGCTGAGGCAGATGCAATCACTCTTTGGAAAATTCAACCTTGCTTGCAGGGTGATCCCCATGGAAGGATCTTTAGCAGGAGCTTGTCTGGGGCTACAGCGGGAGTGCAGGCACCGTACCATTTCACATTTCATTAGGGTGTCTTCACGCATGAGGGCGGATCTGGAGGTGTGGGAAATGCGTTTTTGAGGGATTTTAGGAGAACATGCTAATTTGTAACTTGGCATTTTTGGAACCTTTTCCTTTGGTGGTGGTGCTGGTGCTCTGGGGTGATCTGTTTCGGGACAGGAAGGTGGTCTTCTTCTCAGATAATATGGCTGTCGTGCACGCAGTCAATAATCTGTCAGCATCGTCGAAGCCGGTGGTGCGTCTTTTGTGTTGTTTTGTCTTGCTGTGTATGTCGCTCAATGTGGTTTTCTGTGTACGGCATGCACCAGGGTATTTGAATGTCAAAGCTGACGCTTTATCTAATTTGCAGTGGTCCCGGTTTCAGGCAGTGCTGCCCGGAATGCAGGAGGTGTGACAGGCATGCCCGGAGGAGATGTGTCGGCTCAGAGCATCTTGCTTGGGGTAATTCGTGAGAGCTTCATTGGCCCCAGGGCAGCCTACTGTAAAGCTTGGGTCTCATGGGAAAGCTCGTTGGCTGGTTTAGATCAGGCCCTGGGGGTGATTCTTGCCTGCATGCCTTGCTTTACGTTTCGGTTGTTGGCGAGGGGTGCATCCCCGGCAGTGGTGGATAGGCATAGCTGCACGGGTGGGAGGATTTGACAAAACATTTTGTGATAAAGCAAGCACTTAAGGGGTATTGGAGGGGGTGTAGGGTAACAGATGCTCGGAGACCAGTGTCCGTGGGGGTGTTGAGGGGCCTTATTAGAGTGGTGTCTGCCATTTTAATGAGTTTGAGGGTCTTCTGTTCCCCACTGCGTTTCTCTTAGCCTTCTTCGGTGCATTTCAGATTGGGGAGCTTGTTAGCGCTAACCGGGTGAGTTGTGGGGGCATTCAGGTAGATGATGTGCGCGTTTAGGTGGGGCGTCTCGTTATTCAATTGGCCCGGTCTAAGACTGATGTTCGGGGCTTGGGCAAGGACGTTACCCTGGTTGCCTTTCCAGAATTGCCATTGTGCCCAGTTACCACGGCGTCGCAGTATCTGGTGCAAAGACCCACGGTGGGGGGTTCCTTCTTGGTGCATGCGGATGGTTCCTTGCTGTCTCATTTTCAGTTTACCAGGGTTTTTAAGTTGGGTTTGGAGAAGCTGGGGTTGCACGCAGGTCAGTTTGGGACTCATTCATTCCACATCGGGGCAGCTATCGAAGCAACGTGGTTGTGGCTGGGGGAGACCCTGGTCAAGAGGACTGGGTGGTGGGAGTTGCTGAGGTTCTGTTCTTATGTGCGCTTGGGGATGCTGCCTTAGGGTTGTTGGATAAAACACAAAGATTAGGCGCTCGCTATAGTGATTATGTGATAGGAGTGGGCAGCAGTGACCAGCACAAGGATTCCCAACCTTGTAATAGAACAATTGTGAACAAAGAAACAGAAGGAAACCACGCCCTTAATACGATACAAGTGTACGTACTCAAGTCCTTATGGTCGTAGTTTTTCAATAAACATTTACCAGAGCTACTACAGAGCTCTACTGTTGTTGCGCCTAGACGGAATAATCCCCGTCTCTGGATTAGTTTGAAGTAGTCAACCTCTTGGCGTCCTCAAACAAATAGCACATGTAGAAACATAGAAATCCTTATAGTGTAGTATGTTAAAATACCTTAAGGATAATAAATAAATGTAGGTAGCGTACTCACATGTACTAGAGCGTTCCTCGCTCTAGTTTATAAAGCATAGGTGGTATAATCCCCACCATAGGATAAGATGACAACCAGGAAATAAAAATATAAAATAAAATGGTATCTCAGAGTGATATACTATTATACTTTTATCACTCTGAGATACCATTTTATTTTCAGATAGTGTCTGGTGGCATTAATAAAAGTTGTGGACAAATTTGACCCATGTACCTTAGTGTGTGTGTCTTATTGGGTAAGGTATGTGTTTTTTTTCATATCGCCCGCCCATATGGTGACTGTGGCAGAACCACTGTTCATTCGTGTATTTTCCCATTTGTATGATGTGTTCCCCTGGCTTTTCACGTCTTATGCCCTATTCCCCGGTTAGGAGCGTTCATACGAACAGAACCCTTTTGTCTCTCAAACGGGGACCACCCCAGTGCCCCACTGTAGCGTTACTTACCTTAACCGGGGGCCGGTCGCGGTCCTCTCTTCAAGCCGCGCGCGGTCCTGCGGCTGCACGAGCCGCGCGCGGCTCATCCAACTGCTTTGGATGGAAGGCGGGCAGTGACCCGCCTGAAACTAAGAGCGCGCCGCGAGTCTCGGGCGCGCTCTTAAAGAGACAGTGGGAGCCTAATTGCCAAAAGGCTCTCCCATTGGCTCCAGTCATACCGCACTCCCTGTACAATTACCTATAGGGGTGTGGAAGTGACAGGAGCCAATCACTTTCGTTTTAAAGCTATTTAAACT